TGGTTTTCAGTGAGGCAACACTTCTTTCGTTGGTAATTTTTTTGACAGGTATTAATTGATTTATACTCAGCTTGATTCTCCATTTAAGGGGTTGTCTCGGTGCAAAATTTTAAGGAAATCGATTTTTTTTTGTAGTGTTTATATATAAAAAGTACGTGACACGTGTTTGTTCGTGACGGACTCCTAAACTACTGAACCGATTTTAGTAAAATTTAGCACACTGCGTCCAGTTTGAACAAACTTAGAAGATAGGATAGTAAAAACAGTTCATAATTAAAGAATATAGTGAAGGCACTATTAAATGGACGCCCCTGAACATCTCCATTAACCATGTACTTTTGGTGTTTATTAAGTACAATCCATTAATCGGACAAGTCTTTTCACTCTCTTTAGAGAATGGCTGGTAACCAGACAGTGAGAAAACAGCCTTCAATTCGATATTATTTTTTTTCAATGAAATATTGAAAGATATTCAGTTCCCTTGGGTTCTTATACCTTACAAAAACGTATTCGCCTTTATTCGTAAATAAAATTTCCCTTCGTATTGAATAGTTTATTATTATGTATGAATAGTAATATAAAATGTATGCCGCCGCAACGACTGGTCGGATCCACTAGTATACACTATAATAAACATTTCTGAAATCGAAATTCAAATTATTACGGTAGCTACAGCGTATCTCGTGGAAAGGGAATAGAGTGGGGAACATCTTTAAATGCGTTTTTCTCGGAATGGTTTTTTCCATACGGTTTCTACGCTCAGAAGAAGAGTTTTGAAGATATCCAGCTCCAATTTGGAATGAACATTTTGAAAGTCATTCGCTATCGTGCTATGGGAGCTTTTATTTTTTTTAATCTTCCTATTTCATCTTCGAAAAACTGTCGAAATGTGTTAAATTTCTTAATTTCTTATATTTCTTAACAGCGAAATAGAGCGATAGCGACTTTTTTCTACAGATTAATAATATTTTCAAAATTTTAGTTCGAAACTGCGGCCGCAATGGTGGACATCGTACAAGACCATTTTTTAGGTGTCATTTCAACAAACTTTTTCAAACTATTGTACACTTCATAAACTAACATAAAAAAATTGTTTTGTATTCGTCATGAATGTATTTACTTAGTATAAAGAAAAAACTCGGACCGATTAGTTAATTTCAACATTAAGAAAAAAAAAAAAATATCGAAAATGAGTGATTTTTCTGAGGGTCACACTGAGACGATGAGTAGAGTTACTCTGGAACAAAGTTTGCAATTGTGCAAATTTTCTATGAAAATAATAGTTTGCCGACTCTGAGGTAATTCGAACAACCATGGATTGATTTCGCACTAGGTTTCCTCTAATAAATAATGCGCATCTTCAAAATATTCGTACAGTGCTATTGCTGCTGAAGAGCAGATTATCGAAGAAGATCCGCCATCGCGCGCAACAACTGGAGTTGAGTTCATTTACTTTATGGAAGATTTTGTGGAAGGATATTGGTTTGGGAACCTACAAAATCAATTTCGAAAGCGAATTGTAGCCAAACGACCATAAAGTTGTCCACAACTTGATGACCATCCAATCTTTCAAACAAAAATGCCGAATTAGGAGTGATGCTGAGAAGGCGTTGCATGCTCTATGGGCAGAGGAAGTCATGGGTTCATATTTCTTCAAAAATGAAGCCGATCATAGAGCCATGAGTAATGACTTGTTCATGATAACATGCGCAACTTGCCACACAGTCAACGAAACAATCCATTTATTAAAGACAACTTTTGGTGAGCGCTGTATTTCGCTTCGTAGGCCTGTTGTGTAGAATCCCAAACCGCGCGACTTATTTTTTTGTGGGGCTATGTGAAGTAATTTGTCAGATAAGCACGAGGAATTGACATATTGGAAGAGAATAATCGGCTGAAAAAGTGTACTACCGGCGGTCTCTTGACTGAAATGATTTTTAAAACATAATGAAAAACTCTTTATCTTTATAGTGCAGCTAAATTCTTGGCCTTAACATTTTTAGCAAAAAAAAAAAAATTCTTTAGATACGGCTTAAAATTTTAATATGCTATTTTTAAAGGCATAACCTAACAAAATTTGAAAAATATCGTTTCTTTTTATTGCAAACTTGTTTGTTAGCATAATAAGCACAACCAGCTCCGACTGACTTGAAGCGTAAAAAATTAATGAAATCGGTCAAAATCTTCATCTAGTCGCAATACACTCACCTTATTATAATGACTTCCACCACCAATTTATTGGTTTATATTTTAGCTATTTTAACGACAATAAGTGGTATAGTTTGGGACACAAAATGCCCTCTTACTAAAATATTATAAAATCGGTCCGTGATATCGGTATGTATTCTTCCTCAGGCCAAATGAATGTAGTGAATTCTGTTAGTTAGACTGATTTTCGTATATAACAGGTGATCCAAGTAGAGCTTCATTTGCCTTTTTTGACAGATCACGTGTGAGTCGTGTTAAGCTGTCATGTTATTTTTGTTCTGTATTGTTTGGTATTTCATCGTGGAGAGTCGATTTGGAGCTGTTCGCAGTAACTCAGACTGACGTATTGAAGGACTTGGCATATTTTGCAAGCAAAATTGCCACATTTGGGAAGAAGAGCAACCTGAAGTAAGTTAAAAGCTGCCATTTCACCTAGAAAAAACAACGACTTGGTGTGTTATTTGATTCCTGAAATTGAAGCTCGTGATCTCGGCGACATTTGAGGGAACACTTCGGTGAGCAGATAATTTCACATTCTGCGATCGTGTGATATCACACCGTTAGACTTTTTCCTGTGGGGATATGTAAGGTCAATCTATGCAAGTATATGTGGATAATCTGGCTACGATTCAGGCCTTGGGGCAAAATATCACGCGTGTATTCGCCATTCGCTCGAACATAGTCGCGGCCAACATTTGTAAGAGATAATATTAAAAATAAAAATCAAAAGAACTTTTCTTTCGAATGATAATAAATATTATGCTTTAAATTAGAAGTTTCTGTGTTTTTTTTTTTTTTCAAAAAGCAGGAAACCTCGAAATGAATGGGTCACCCTTTATATTATTCTTTGGCTAAGAAAATTAAGTAATGACGATATTCCTATAGAGAAGAAAATAGTCGGTTACATACGGTGAGAAAATCTGCTTTCAACAAGAAGTATATAGAACATTATGGGAACTATTGAAGGTTAAATTGTTTCCGCATCCGCAGTATTGCTTAGTTCTGATTTATTTCTGTTCTTAAATCTCACATTGAATGGCAATGAAAAGGTAATCTGCAAAATTGAGGGCTATTTAAAAGTAATGCTAAGCCATAATAAATAATTGGACCTCCTTAAGGGAGGAGCCTGCTTTAGAGGCTTAAAAAAATGGAGATTTTTGAGGCTTTTTTTTTAGAGGGAAACAAATAATTGATTATTTATCCACAAATTTGTTGGATACGACATCATTTATATTCTGCCCTTGGAAAGCATTTGTCGTACGGCGAGCAGGATGCAGGTCGCAGTTTCTATCGGAAGCAAACATTTCAAAAAGATTTATATTTCTTAATAATTTATCTTCTAGTTAAACTAAAAAAATTTCAAAAAAAGTGTAGAATTTAATAAATTTTTTAAAAATTAAAAAAGTGGTTTTTGACCAAAAATATTTTACTTTATATTGTTTAAAAATATGTTCAAAGTTGACTTTTCTTATTTTTTTTTTTAAATTAAATTGAAGATAATTTAATGACTAATAAACCTTGCCCCAATGCCATGCGACTATCTATCCTGCCCACCATTTAAGGAAAATCGTAAAAATGCAAAACCGAGAAATCGCACGTCAAAGTTTTCGCTTTTTGCCCAGGCGCTAATGTATCTGCTAGACGCTCGGTCACTATTTCCTTTCTAGCTTCGAAAATATTCCAAATTCTCCTCTATAACTTTGGGGACATGTTCCTAGATTATTTTTAAAGAGTTTTAAGCAAAAAAAAAACGATTTTTTGAAGCTTCTAAAGCAGGCTCCTCCCTTAAGGAATCAAAAGTTCAGGCGCTATCAGCTTTTTAGAATAGAAGAAGAGTAGTGTCGCATGTGGATGTGGTGGGGCGGTTTTTGTGATTATCTTATGTTGGCCGAATAATGAAACTCCCCCACAATATTATAAATACTGCGTAACTGAAAGTAATTTCATGTGTTTCTATGTAACTTCTTCCATTTCAGCATAGTTCACAAAATTGTGTGCACGCAAATTTTTTATGATTCACAACAAATTAGTTAGTAGTTTCTTAAGTTGAATCTTCGTTTCAAATTTGCATTCTGTATTTGTGTTTTTGGTTGTAGCTGGATTCGCAAAAGTCGTGGCTACAGCGGCGCCGCACGATGAGTTTAACTAGCTGTCAAACAAAGCCACCTTCTTTGCAAACCAACAAATGCAATAGTTTGTGGAAAATATCTGCGTTACCCCATTACGTTACGGCCACCTTGACCATTTTACTGTACTCTGTTATTTTCGTGTTACTTTAGCGCTTTGAATGCGCTTTGCAAAACTGAGAATACAAAACTTAGACAAATGACAAAAGCAAAAGAGCGAGACATAATTGCACACGTTCGGCGAATGAAATAATGCAAGATCACAGCGACACAGACAACTGCAGAGCCGGCATCGAACATGTTCGATTTGAAGCTTAGCGATGATTAAAGCAATCAGCATACGCACTCATACATATACACACCTGCATAGATGAATGTTGGTATTGTCCTTAAATTGTTGGCGTCCCAACAGCGGCGAGCCGCTCGGCTTCGGAGGCGAAGATGCGAGCGAAAAGCGTAGACAAAGGCGAATGCGAGTGCGTGTGTGTGTGCTGCGACAATAATGGTGGACCATTCAGCTTTGCTTATGCGCTTGCAAATAAGCTCGCATGTGTGTGTGTGTTTGTGGCACGCCTGACTGCGTTCAACTGTGTGACGCTGCGCTGTGTCTAAATTTGTTTATTTATACACCTGCTGGCATAGAACACGGTATCAGTGTCTTCTTGGCGGCCGTAAACGACGGCCGATTTCAGTTTCGGGAATAATACCACTAAATACTAATAAGTTGTTGTTTCTGTGCTATTTTAATATAAGTGAGTTCTGATTGTTTTGTGGCGGCCACGCACGGACGATAGTACTTAAATCACACGACACGCAGCTGTACGCGCTCACAACAACACACACGCATACATACTTACGTGTGCACAACAACCGAATTGAGCACTGTGTTCGGCAAATTAGCTAAGCAGTGCGGTTTGGCAGTGATTGTCACAGTCTGACAGTCTACCAATTTGGCAGAACTTTTCGACGGTGTTTTGTTTTTGGTGCGCATAAGAGGTACGGAAGTGTCTAAAATGATTACGATGTATGAATATGAATTTTCAAAAAAGATAAAAAATATGAATATTGTGTATTTAGCATTACATTATTAGCTCATATTTTTCGTATTGAAATTTGTAAACGCAATTTCGTGTACGTAAGCTTGCAATGGAACGTATTTTGAAATTATCTAATTTCGAGTTGTGATTCCTTGTTAGCAAGGATCTCTATGCATGTATGTGTAATGCATGAAAAAGTGGGTTTGAGCTAACGCATTTGATTTTTAGCTATTCATTTAAAATTTCGCTCGTTTCTTGACGTAGTACTGTATAAAGTTGTACTAAAATTTAAAAAAAAAAATATTTTTTTGTTAATTTTTGTTATAAAATATTCTTGTTTTTTATTTTTTTGTTTTTTTTTATTTTTTTAGTTTTAGTT